CTGTTGATACAAATGTTAACAACAATATTGCCAACTTTACAATTAAGGTATAAGAAAGTGATGTGTATAACCAATACTTGCTTTTATGAAGTTTTAAGCTCATTTATGTTTAAATTAGAACAATGATGATGAACGACCTCCAGTTACTAACTGTAGCATTACTTTTGATGATGTCTTGAAATCATGTCTAATGAATAATATCGTTATCTTTAGCAAAACATCAGGAGCTAAGCACTCTTACAATATCACTGTTACCAATGCTGCTGGAACTGTTAGTATAAATGGAGGTAAGCTAAGATGTTTTTATTAAGAGTTAATATTAATCTTCTTTAACAGAGCTAAGTAATGAAGTGTATAATACAACAATGAAACTCAGTGCCTCTATAGGTAATGAACAATAACATCAATTTAATAATTGTCACTGAAAAATTAATGATAGATCCCCTTGCAGTTGCTGCTTCACCCACTGTTCTTGGAGTATTAATAATATTGTCTATTTGTTGGATATTGCTGAGGATATGTTGGAAGAGACAATGTTGCTGTCCCAGGATTTGGAGGAGTAGCTTTTGGTTGCTTTTCTTCTGCTATGATTGTTGTACTTATGATGCTGGAGGTATCAACTACAACATGTTTTAATAACTTTGATATCAGTTATCTTTTATATAGTAAAAGGAAAGGCCACTGCTATAAATGCAGGTTTAAATAATCCAACTGTTGGAGGGGAGAAGGGAGCTGATACAACTCTTTAACTTTGTGTAACTTTTAAGTCAAAAACTTAGCTGATACCACTTCTGTAGTTATCTAAATTCACAATGTTATTTTACAAAAAATGTATTAATAATAAAAAATAAAAATAAAATAAATAATAAAATACAAAAATACAAATATATAGGAATCACTATAAGCAGAGAGTATATCAGTATATTATCAGTATATTAACAGTATATTAGAATGTCATATTGTCCATTACTGAAGTCCAGCTAATAGTAGAGACCCATGATGGTAATAATGATAATAACTGCTGTAACTCATCACTGGTTGATGAAGGAGGATTGATATACACTGATATTAGGGATACTTCTAGTACTGGACTCACATCAATATCACCCTAACAAGGAAAAAACAATAATTATTAATAATTATTGGTCATAACTTGAAAAATTGAAGTCGGAATCAGCTCAAACTTGCTACACAGCATAAAGGCATCAATATGTATCAGAAAACCTAATAAAAATTTGGGGTGATTTTGGAGCCATTTTTTGGAAAGAACCATGGGCTATAGTACAGGGATTTTTTTAGAATTTTGACGTTTTCTTAAAATGGCTGAACTCGAAAAATTGAAGTCAGAATCAGCTCAAACTTGTTACACAGCATAAAGGCATCAATATGTATCAGAAAA